AGCTAAATAAATTGCTTAGGTAAGCAAATATTCCCCTCGGGAGCTGTAATGCAAAATGAGAGTATGTATTATAATAAAGTAAAAAACAGAGAATACAAAAAAAAAAAAATGAAATAAATGATGGATGTTGCATTAGCAGTTTCATGCTCATTATTGCATTTAATAACTTAATATAACGCTAAAAAAAAACAGAAGAAAGTGTGAAAATTTTAAAGAGAATAACAAACTAAAAGAAACTAGTAAGTTTAGGTATGTTTTTAGTTAAAAGGGACTTATTTAATACTCTTCCAAAAGACTTTCTAAATAGGGCGTTCTTCAACCAAATTTTGTAATAGGGCGTTATTGAAAAGTTTTTGAGATAGGGTGTTTTCGATCTGGCTGCCGAGTTAGGTCGCTCATCCACTCAGCAGTCGACATATGATGGGAGGTGTCAAAGACTTTGACACGCTTAAAAAAGTTAACATGGAAACACTTGTTTATATTCAGCATCATTCCATTTAAGAAGTGTAAAACGACATATATGTATTTAAAATGCCTTAATTATCCCTATTTGAGTAGTAACTAGAGCTGTGCATGGGACTAAATATTTAATCCCAATCCCGCTTTTCCCGAAATTAAATTTTAAGTCCCGAACATGCCCATCCCAACGTTTTTCAGAATTGTTCCACGGGTCCCGTGGGTCTCAAAATCTATCACTAAAAAAAATTCACATGACTTTCAAATTTCGTCCCAATAAAACATAAATATTGCATATTCCACACATCGTTTTTACGAAAGATTTATCGGAATTGTCGGGAAAAGATTTTAGTCCCGTCCCGCCCGTAAAATTTCACAGACCTTCCCGGCCAATTTGAAACCAGTACCGTGGGTCCCGCGGGTCCCGATATCCTGCGCCCAGCTGTAGTAGTAATATTTACATTTCTTTAAACCGTTGGAAAGTATTAAAAAAATAAATAAAAACAGGCTTTAATTTTTGTCTAGGGAAACTCTTCGTTGATATATAATTACTACATCCATACAAAGTTATCGCTTCATTAAGCCACACGTCACTTTTGGCAATTATAGATTTGAAAGAGCGAGCACATTGTCTACTTAGGATTCAGCAAAAACACCACCAATAATATTAACCTAGAGATTAAGTGAAGAATAATTCTTGCCAACAGGTGCTAGTTTGGACTCGGTAGGCGGTTTAAAAGCAGAGCCCTCTCTTTCACGAATCTTTTATATGACGCAAAGATGAGATATTTAGTCTTCAGTGGTGTCGAAAGGACTATGCGTCTCGAGATATATGACTCCATTTGCGTAGGAGACGGTTATCGAAGAACATAGAACGACCAACTGTTCGAAAATGACACCTAAAGATGGACAAGCAAGAAAGGAACATTCTCTCCTAAACTTTCGTAAAGGAAATAATGCCCACCAACAAAAGGTAATAAAGCTCGCGGCTTTTATTTTAAGTTATAATTTTGTTGTATTAGAAGCTATATTTAGATTTATTTTTGAAATCTTATTTTCATATTTGGTTTAAATTCCGCGTACATATATTTGTAAACTACCATTTTTTATTCATAAGAACCAGAACTCTTCAATTACCCTGAACTATGAAAGGCATGATGAAGCTTTGAATATAGTAGATTGGTGTGGATGCATTCCAAAATGGAATTAAGAACAGAAGAACCTATCTGCATAAGAGATGAGGATCTGGCGACAATTCGCAGAAAGCACATAGGCAATTACAGAATTTTTTGGTCCAGCGAAGATTTAAAATAGGTTGTAATGCCATATAAGAAAAAGAAGAAGTACAAACTCTATACGTAATAAAAAGCAGAGCGAAAAAAGATTGGCGCCCAAAACAATTGTCAGCTAATGTGTTACTAAGCCGAGGAGAAAGTCACTTTTGACTCCGTAAAAAGTGTACAAAAAAATTTTATCTTACAACCTGCTCACCCATGAGCTCAAAAAGCTCAACAACCTTCCACAAATACTCACATACACTAGTGAATTGTCTATTTTACTGCCTAGCTGACGTTACCGGAGTAATTTTTTGATGAATTTCTACAACTACAAGCGGTTAATTTGCGTTTCGTTCGGCTGACCCGTCTTTGAGTTGGGTTAGCTTTAAGCTCACTGATGATAGCTGCTCTTTCTATTGCGTGTACGTTGCTCATACGCCCCGTCATTACGAACAACATACATATAATAAATGCCAGCCGCTCAAGTGTTTGCCTTATCAGTGTTGTTTTAGCTGTTATTAACGCTTAATAGTGTCTTTCTGGCTTTGCTGTTTTGTCTGCAAATTTGTTTGCTTTAAGCGTTCTGGTGTTGATTTTACATTTAAGCGTTGAGCTTTCAAATGCTGACCTTTTCCGCATCGTACCACCGTGTAGCCGCCATCATCATCACCATCATCACTTCGCTACGCTATTTTTCGTAACGTTTCTACTCCTAGCTTAACTTTTACTTTATTACCGCATTCAATGCTTTATTTTTGTTGTTGCCGCTTCTGCTGCTGCTGGTTGTGGCAAAAGTCGAAAATTAAATTATTAATTTGTTTTGTGCCTCTGCAGGTCGGCGTATGGTAGTAAATACATAGATTCAGCCAACTTTTGGGGTCGCTTGAAAAAAAGGTTCGCAAGCTAATTGAGTAGCTGTAGTTGTATTTCTGTGCGTTTATATGTATGTGTGTGCGTATGTATATGCGTACCTTCATATTTATTCATGTTGCGTTGAGCACAAATTTGTTACGTTTGTTGATGGATTTGATGCGCCTTTAGCGACTTAAGCGCCTGGCGCCATCATTTCCCTCATTCGCATAGAATTCATCATTTTTGTGTATGCTCGTTTGATTGCTCAGTGCCCCATTTGTTGGCAGTAGCTGCCATGGGCTACTAGCGGCTGCTGCCACCACTCCACTCCATTCAGCATTCGCATTCACTGTGGCTAACCATCAGCGCATCAATTATTCATAAATTAAGCATACAAACAGGGAAAGTAGAAGCAACACAGAATCAAAATAAAAAATAACTGCTTAAGTTTCATAAAATCCCGCACAGCTAAAAAGTAATGCATTTGTGTTTGTGCGAAATTTGCCTTTTACTGACTGGCAGCACTGTTTTCATTTGCCAAAAACCCACCACCAGCTGCGAAGCACGAGAGGGCCTTCTCATTCCACTCTTCAATTTTGTGAAGTATTCCATTTGTGCTTAGCAAATGGCGCAAAATGCTCTTTGATGGCAACTAATGCAGCTGCTACTTGGCCGTGCCTCGCCTTTTTACGACTGTTATGCTGCTCGTTTATCCATCGTTTTTTTGTTTTTTTTTTTGTGTTTTTGTGAATGTATATTTTGTGTGTTATATTTTTTCCCTATTTGCTGTTGCTGCTGTTAATTAGAGCACATAATTAAAAGTTATTCAGCAGCATGCTTGTTTTCTTTATTTGTGTTAGCAAATCATACTTTGCAGTATGTTTATTTACTTTCGTTGAGTTCGAAATTTGATGGAGTGGCATGCAAATATTTACATGGGAAATATCAAAATAAAACGAAAAGCCTGGGGATTATACTAACTAGTAGGCACATGGCTGAATTTTGGCGAAAAATTTTAGAATTTGAAAATAAATTACCTTGTATTTTACAATTCTCCCAGAAAAAATGTCCCTTCAAACAAGCGATGAAAATTTTTTATTTACAGTACATTATTTTTAAATATACATAGACGAGCATTCCGCCTAAAAATGCACTAATTATTGTTTCGGGACGAATTTTTCAGCGGAAATGTATGTATTTTAAGTAAAAAATGTGATTCTACTTTTTATAAAACAAAAACAATAATCATTTACCGTTTTGCAACGGAAACGTATCTCAGATATGTAAACTGACATCTAAATCTATCTTTTAACCCGGGATTGGTGTGCCGACATACCCCATACGTATTATTTTCTTTGGTGAATTATAGTGTTTAAATTAATTTTTAATAAGAAGACGTAAAAATGTTTCCTTTGTACACAATAAAATAGCAATAAATAAAAGCCCTATAGAAAGATTTAAGCTTTTTGAGACATAAAAGGTTCAGAGCATACCCAGTCAGCTATTATGGTTCTCGAAGATGATCAACTGGGAACGAAATATGGTTTCAGTCCTAAAGAGGCAGTAACAAATTTGAGCAATTGCCTTACCTTTATGGCAGACAAATTGCTCAGGTCGCAAATTAAGTGGCTTACAGATTCAGGCTCCTCCTCGTCTCTGTGTCTTCGGAAATCATTGAGCGACACCATAAGTCTCCCAAAAGCTTTGCTAGGGCGATATGACCACTCTACAGATCGACAGGAAAGACGATTTCTCCTCTGCACAGCATAAGGAGCTTCCTTGATCTTTTTTAATGTTGCGCTCGTTTTTCATAAAAGAAAAATTCTTGAATGCTGAGCTCGTTAGCCAGCTTAAGATTGCTATTACTTCAGTCTGGAACACCGTGGTTCATCTACGCATTGGACTTACATACAAGTTTTTTCATGGTTCCTTAGATACTTGCACCTCTCCTTTGTCTCTGTGTATCAGTGTACAAATCTGGTTTCCAGGTTAGGGAGTCCGTTTGCCCAATCTTAGCGAACTGGTATCTTCATTTAGAAAGTTCTGCCTTCGAAGATTTCTTTATTTAAGGAATCGTATACCCAGCCCTTGGAATACTCCTTTGTATAGAAGCAGTCGTTAGATAGTCAAAATTGCAGCGCCTTGGAGGCTTTTGTTCTTTAAATGTGGAATATAAAGAGGGGTTCACCCTAGTACCGATTTTGGTGGGTATAGGCGCCTTTTATTTAAATCAAATAATATTTTTCAACTTCCTATTTCTATCCAGGAAGTGCCATAAATTGATATAGAAAGGACGTAATAAACGTTTAATTTAACTTTAGCCCTTTATTTAATAAAAATAATGCTGCAAACCAAGTTTCATCGCAAAGAAGTGTTGTTCATTTAACTGATATAGTTATTATCTTTTGAACTTACGATATTTCTCCAAATGGTGTGAAAGCATCTTTTAGTTGTTGTGTCTCGATTTCTGCACTTAAATCTCCAACGAAAATATGAAATTGCTCTGAAAGAAGAAAAATAGGAAAACGTTTAGTATAACTTTAATTTTTATTACTAACTCAATCAATACAAACAAATAGCTTAATTTTGTCTGATAAGTTTTAATATTGGACATACAAATGTATACACACATACATGCAGAGATTCTTTTTTGTAGCAAAACCCCGGCAAGCAACAGCTGCAAAAGCTACAGCTATTCAAGTGCAAACACTTTAAAGTGGCCAAAAGTGACATACGAAACGTGCAATTTCGGTTGACATTATCAAAACATAGTTAATGGCAACGCCAAGTCGACAAAGTTGACGACGACAACGAGCAAAGCGAATTGTGTGGCGAGACAAGCAACTGCATACATACATACTCGTACATACAAAGCTAGTCAAGGTTGCACAGGACATAACGACGCTGGCAAGATGGGGCTGTTAACATTGCGATTGCTGTTGTTGTTCTTGTCATCAGTGATTGTGGTAGTAAGTACTCCCACCTGAAGTGCATACAGCACATCTTGTTGCTTTTATTGTACACTTATGGGCAAAATGAATGCAATTGCCAGTGGTGTTGCTTGGCTAGTGGTGGCAGTTGCCGGTTAAGTGGCACGATATCAGATATGCTACTTCCCGGTTTGAAATGGTGAGCAGCAGCACTTGGACATCAACAAAGCGACACCAACACTTATATATGCACATGCATACGGACATGGATGTGTATGTATCTACGTAAATATTCACGAAAGCTGGCAATGAGTTTTGTCCGTCGACCAAACGGAGCGGTAAGTGGCGGAGGTGAAGTGAAAAAAGTAAAAAGACGTCAGCGCAGCGGTTGTGAAATCCAGTGGTATTACCCCGCAGTAAAATCTAAATTACCCAATGAAAATTGTCGTAGATTAACTGGTGTAAGCTGATGCGAAGTCTAGCTATTTCGCTTTGAGTAAGGTCGGTGTTATGCAGAAATTTTGTTTGGCAAACTGCGTGCAATTGTTGTTGCAGCAAACTCGGAGAGAGCGAGTTTGGCGACTCTCACAGCAAACTAATTTTGTTTGGTCAAACTGCAGCAAATTCGGTGTTGTCATATACAAAAATTTTAAATTTTGCGCGTTATGTACATCTGAAATTCTCATTTCGTGTTGGCAATAGCCATGAAAACCATAATGAACGTGCAACCCTGTGCCAAACTCGACATAACCACCTCCGAGCAAACTAAGCAGCCGCCATTTAATTTGGCAAACAAAAGTTTGTCTGCATAACACCGACCTACGACTGCTTCAAACAGCTGCGATACCGTAAGCGATGCGATACGAAAGCAAAATCGACATGCTGAGTACGTGGAAGTTGGTAGAAAGCGAAGAAACCTGTTCACAATTTCACGACAGCGGCACAGCGGCGACATAAAATAGCTTGCGTATCGATCGAGCGACACGGTTTGCTTCTCCCACCGCATATGGTATCGCGTGTCGTATCGCTTTAATGTGCACTGCGCGCATGTTGATGTCGCTTATCGTATCGCATATCGTACCGATCTAATATGCAGCATACCTTAGTGACACATAGTCCGACCAACGCGCCAGATGGTGACTGACTGGTATGCTAACTTATAGATACATTTTACATTTTATAAGACATCGCTATATTGAAAACATTTGTTGTTTACATGGAAAAGACGGCGGAAAATGAATAAGTTGACCTGCAAGGCAAGCTGCTATTCGAATAGTTCAGAACTTGCTGCATTCACTGCAAGGTAGTAGTAGGGTTTGCGATTGAATAAGAGCTTTCGGATGTAAATATGTACATGCATGTGTGTATATATGTATGTATATGTGGCGCAGTTGTAAATGTTAGACGTACAAGTCTTTGCCGTTGACCGACAATTGCGACAAATGACAACGTTTCGTATTACAGGGAAATTGTACTTGAATTCGAAAATCATGCCCGCCGTCAAGCAGTACAAGCGCACATGCGCACACATATCCACAGAAGCGTTTGTACATATACCTACGAATACAAATACTTGCATAGACTTTGATTTGAGTGATGAGCAAACTATGTAATAGCTTACATGAAGCGGCAAGCATGACGTTCTAAATGCGGTAAGTGGAAAGCGACAAGTGGCATGTGTCGTGTGGTAAGTAACGAAGTATACATATTTGAGGTAAGTTTTGTGTTTGAGTTTACACTCCTCCATTTGGCAGCGTTTGACTCGACTGTGCCAACAGGAATTTATATTTAAGTAACATTTCCGCGGTTTTGATTGATTGCAATTGAGATGAAAAGATTAAAAGTGTGTGTCGAAGTACCTATGTATTCATAATTCTTTCATACACATACATACATATCTTGATATTGAAATAAGCGCGCAGGTGCGCTTATGTGTTTGCCAATGTGTATACATATATGCATATGTGTTTATGAACGTTATGACGAAGCAATTTACAGGTCCCAATGACTATTGTTTTTCGTAAGTATAACATCAGCATTTTATATTCTAGCTGGTGGAGGAAAAATATGGAAAGAAAACACATAAATATGGATGTACAAATATGCCTATAGGCTTACTTTCAAAGTTGAGTGGATATTTATAACTACTCTTTGGGTTCTTTGGAAGTTAGAGTGATATGAAAAATATCCTTAACAGAACATCTTTAACAGAAATTAGTGGTGTTGTTACAACAGCAAATAAAAATATAAAATAAAAACAAGCTCTTAGCTATATTTTATTTTTTTTATTGTTTATTTATTTATATATATTACACTAAAATTTTACAAAAGGCAATGGCTGCTAAGGCTTCGGCTCGACATTTATACATAAAAACCTATTTTAATATCTCTAGATTATTTACATTAAGTATGTACATGTTAGTAATGTCAGATGAAAGGTAACAGTAGATTCATATACTTATTTAGTTTAGCTAAGTTTTGAAATTTTACGAATGCATTAATACAATCAGATTTTGCTGATTTTAGATGGTTTGCTCTGATCAAAACTTTTGTTCGGCTCTGGCTTAGTCCAGGACATTAAACAGTAGATGTTGAACTTACACATCTGGTGTATTTCAGTAAGAGCATGGCGGTTTCGACAATCCATTTAGTAAATGACTATATGTGGGAATGGAATGTCCAATACCTAGTCGCACAAAAGTTGAAAAAGAGTCTGATGGAAAAATTGGTTTAGTGCCAAGGGGATTATTTATTTTGAAGTGGTGTTGGTCGGTGGCCTCCTCGTTCGCAAATTTTCTGACAAAGTAATGTGACGCATACATCTGTAGATATTTTAGAGCGAGGTGGTTAAAAAAAATGTAATGGCTGCATCCGTGCTATATCTGCACACTCCTCAGCGACAATATTGCCTTTGATTCCAGCATGACTAGGAACTCACATGATTTTCATCGCGTCTTTGTGTTCATATACATATATATATTATTTCGTATAATATTGATAAGTACCAGCTCGTTTTTTGGGTTCTACAAGGCTTCAATAACAGATTTTCTGTGGCTGCATATAATGTGTTTTTTTTTCTCATTTGAGAGGAAACCATTACCCCTTCAAGCAGTGCAGCTGCTTCTGCTTTGAATGCTGAGCCGTATGTGGCTTTCGTAATGTTTATAGGGTCAAATTAGGTACTAAATAGTGTTTGGACGACAGGTATTTTATAATGCTAGTGTTCGCCCAGCGGTTAAAATTTAACCATTAAACTTAAGAGGAGTCGAGGTGAGTTGAGCTGAATTGAGTAGAGTTTAGATGAGTTGAGTTGAGCTAAGATGAGATGAATTGAAGTGAAGTGATTTTAGATAAGTTAAGATGAGCTATGGTGAGTAGAGCTGAGTTGAGATAAGTTGAGGTGAGAAAAGTACTTAGCACTTAGCATAACATAACGTTGCATAACCTTACATAACATAGCATAACATAACATAAAATAACCTTACATAACATAACACAAACAGCATAGAATAACATAATATAAGACAACAAAGCGTTACATAAATTAACAAAAGATAACAAAACAACATAGCATAACATAACATAACACATTTTTTTTATTTTTTTATGTATGTTTCCGCATAACTTTGGACCACGTTAACCGATTTCTATAACTCTTTTTTTAAATGGAAAGCTGTTACCTCACAGGTAGTCCCACATTAATTTGGTTTAAATCCGAACATCGGGTCATGAAAAAATTAACGAAAATCTTCAAATTTTATACGTGAATTGAAGTCTTCCTCCCTCTTTGTCTTTATATTCAGGTTTCTTTACTTTTATTTTAATCTTTAATCCCTTTCTTCTTCTGCATATTCAACTTTACCTTCTTCCTTGCATGAATATAAGTCTGCACAAAATGTATTCCTTAGCAATTTCTTTTATTCAGTATCAATATTAAAGCATACATTACAGTACACAACTGTGTACGTGTATGGTATTTATATTGGTGTGACTTTTTCGGTCAGAGAAATTTACCAGATCATCAGTATAGGAAATCTTATTAATTGACAGGATCGCTAATTTCATTGAAAGTTATGATGAACAATATTAGGGAAGGCGGGGACCCTATGGTAAGCCATTGTGTAAATAAATATAAAATTTTTGTAGGTTATTTAACAGTTTTATTCAGCTTGAGGCCGTTTATCATGAAAAAATTATGTGAAAAACAATAATAGATAACTTACACAGAGGTAGAAGCTATAGCTGCTATTTCGGATACTGGGATCACAAAGCCAAGTGGTCTACTCACTGAGCTAAGTTCGCCACGCAAACGGTTGTTGCTTTTTCCACTTTTTTAATGTTTTAACCCAACAAATTTTAAGGCACTTTTTGTTAAACGCTTATACATATTAGCTTCACCTGTATGTAAAAATTTCGAGCTTTCTAATTGGATTTCACTGAAAGATTATGAGTATGCAGTTTTGTAGCCCATTTTATTTCTATATTATAAGGTGCAAGTTTAAGGTAGCTGGGACTTATCGTTGATTTTTGCGATTTTCTTTTGTTGAAGGTATTGCTAATTTTCTTCGTATCA